GAAGTCTGATGAGGAAATGTGGTGATTTCCGAAATAGCTATCACTTCTACCATTTTTTTAAGTTCTTGTTGCATTTCCACAATAAGTTTTTCATTAAAAACGGCCTCAAGCTTAAAGGAAATTGTTGAATATAATTTATACTCTATCGATAGTAACATCCATCCAAATATCAATAACACAACCGATACAAATATCGAAAACTTCGATAAAAATATCGATAACAAAATCGATAACGGTATCGATAGAAACATCGACAAAAATGCCAATAAGAAAATTGATAAAAATATCGAAAAGAAAATCGATAAAAAATATCGATAACAAAATCGATAATAATATCGATATCAAAATCGATAACAAAATCGTTAAAAATATCGACATCGATAAAAATATCGATTATTAGATCGGTAAAAACCGATAAAAATATCGATAACAATATCAATAACAAAATCGATAAAAAATATATATAAAAAAATTGTTAAAATATCGATGTCGATAGAAATATCCATTATCAATAAAAATATCGATAACAAAACCGATAAAAATATCGATTACTATATCGACAAGTTCCGAGAATCCCGAAAATCTCTAAAATCCCGAAATAGTGCCAGATTGAATCTCTGTGTCTCTATCTATGTTCTTTTCTGTATAACTACCTTTCATGTAATTTTTCTTCCTCTATCTTCATCTTTACTTTTATCGGTATCGTCATCCTCATCTTTTTCTTTATATTTATCTTTGGTTTACTTTTATGTTAATCATTTTCTTCATCTACATATTCCCATTCACCTTTGCCATTAGATAAGTAAAGTGTTTAAATTTACCTTGACCTTAATTTTTGCATTTACCTTTACGCATCTTTGTTTTTGTTTTCATTTTTACCTTTGCCTTGATCCTTTTCTTTATCTATGTACGTACTCACCTTTACTTTCATCCTTGTATTGGTCTTTTTCTAAGTGTTATTCTATAACCTTTTATTAGCAAGTTTTTGTTAAATTAATACCATGTGCATACAATCAAGAAGATATTTTTTTTTTCAGCCCCAACCATATCCGAGTGCAATTTCAGTTGCACCATTTCCGTGTGCGCTTTCCGTTGAATTTTCCAATTTACCCCCAACCAACAACCGCCGCACAGTGGGGCAAAAAAGGTTGCTGTGGAAAAATCGATTTTGAGAGCCCAAACATGAACCGATCTCAAGTTTCTTTTTTTTTAAATAAGAGATAAATAAATTTCGCGTCGATCTATCCGTGTCGATTTTTTAAAACGCTATGGTTTTTTATTTATTTATGTTCAAAAATGAAAGAAAATAAAATTTTACGTTTGAATCATGATACAAAAAAGAAGGTAGTTTCAATAAACAACTTTTTGATTAAAAAGCAGATTTTTGACAATTGCTCAATTGTGAAAAATTTGAAGCGGCATTACCCAATTGTAAGTTTTTTGGTGTGGGACATTTTATATCCTAAATTTGGGATTATAAAGTAAATAGTTGTATTAATATATACATTTTAAAACTAATCAATATCTTATTTTGAAAACGTTTAAATTTTACATTAAATTCGATAACAACTTGCCAAATCAATATTTTAATATTAATACAATTTTAGTGAACATATTTTAAAATTATGTTAGTATCCTCATGTCATCTCATTAATTCACAATGTAGTTTTCTATATCGGATACGTGATTCTGATGTAATTCTGAAATTACACATTTACACAAATTACTGAAATTACACATTTCGATGTGTTATTTAATACATATTGTCTTTGTCCATTTAACAGCAATGGAATTTACTTTGGAACTCATGGGCCGTAAAATTTTTCTAGCAACACATATTGTTTTCACATACAATTTTGACACACCCAAAATTGAAGGATAAAATAAATAGATAAAACCAAATTTTCAATAAAACTGATTTGTGTAGTCCAGGGTCGTCTTTAGTAAATTTTTTGGAGGCTGTTTTAACATATCCTATCTTATTATATATTTCTTAGCTTTTCTACATTCTGAGAAGTTGAGTAAATGAAGTCTAATATTCTTTTTTGGTCAATTACGATGTTTGATTTCATTTTTTGCAATCATTAGTTCATTTCGCTTGAGGAGTCACAATGCCCATACCGGCTTTTTTTGAAATTTCGGACACAAGTTTTCCAATAATGGTTATAGGCTAAAACAAAACCGATATCTAAAGTGCGTTTAGAACCTCCCATAGAAATCGAGTTTTTCATAGTGCATATCTCTGGAAGTATTTGTGGTAGAGTCCTGGAACTTTGTATGGATATATGTATATGAAGTCAATCTTAAGATCATGGAAAAATAAGAGTTTATTGGAAAATGCGGCGTGCCACCGTAGAACTAGGAATAGAGGTAAATGAAATCAATCCCAAACCTATGAAAAATGGGGGTATATGAAAACAATCTCGTAGCCGTTCAAAAGAGCTAGCGGTATAAGCCAAATAAACTAAAATTCTGGTGACGCATAAAAACCTCTGGAAGCATTTACCTAGAATACAGAGATAAGGTATTTTTCCAACGAAAATATGTACAGAACCACACCTTCTGGAAAGTAACATGATCACAGGGTGTATCCCGAAAACCATTTTAAGCTAAACCTTCAGGGATTATATTCTTGCCAAGACCCACAGGCATAAGCCGAAATTGCGTCGCAAGTTTTATGATCGGCTTGGGTAAGGTTTAACGACTTAACCCCCCTTTGTTTTCGTCGCTACTGAATTCTATAAACTGTCAGCTTTCACACAATTTAAAATATACATGTGTATTTAAAAATGTCATGAAAATTGTGTTGCTAGCTTCATGTTGCAAAATGTTTCAATGAAATGTTGTGGAATTTCACACGTATTTCTTGTTTGTTTCTTATTATGCTATGCTTAAGAACAAAATATTTTTAAATCGACAAAACATTAATAAGAAAATTTGAAGGATTTTAGATATTGGGTATGGTAGCACGAAATGTCACAATCTGCTTAATTGTCAGGTTGTTAATATGGCGACGAAAAAGTGACAATGGAACTACCTTGTTTTTTGTATCATGGTTTGAATGCTTCCACTTTTTTGGAAAATACTTGAAATTAATTTCAAATGTCTGCACTTATTTAAAAAATTAATCATTAACATGTTTCCATAGGAAACATTTAATTAAAAAAATATTTTTAATTTGCCATCTATACTGATATATATTTTGAAAGCCGTTTTTTTCTAATCGAAAAACTCGAGAAAAGGTGTACCGATATTTTTGAAATTTTGGACCTCGACTCTAGACCCTCAAAGGATGATAGTAGAAGAAGAATAATTTCAATATATCAAGGGGGCGTGGCACCTGCCTTACAAACTAAAGTTTTCACACAACATATCTCTGGAAGTATTCCTCGTAGAGTGCTGCAACTTAGTATAGAGTTATATAATATCAACGCCAAACTCATGGAAAAATGGGAGTTATTGAAAAAGTGGGCGTGGCACCTCCCATACAAACTGAATTTCTGACATTAGAATGTGTATATGGTGTGAGAAATTCAGTTTGTATGGGAGGTGCCACGCCCACTTTTTCAATAACTCCCATTTTTTCCATAAGTTTGGCGTTGGTAAAATATATCTTTGTACTAAATTGCAGCACTCGACGATAAATATTTCCAGAGATATGCTGTCTGAAAACTTCAATTTGTATGGGAGGTGCCACGCCCTCTTGATATATCGAAATCGTTTTTGATCTATTATCAGCCTTGGATAGTCTGGAGTCGATGCCTAAAATTTCAAAAATGTCGGTACAGCTCTTCTCGAGTTTTTCGAACAGAAAAAAACGAAAAAAAGAGCTTTCAAAATATATATTTGTATAAATAGCAAATGAAATACAATTTTTAATAAAATCGATCCTATGGAAAAGTTTTAATGAAAATTTATTTATATAATTGCAGACATTTGAAATTAATTTCAAGTATTTTCCAAAAGAGTGGAAGCGTTCAAACGTAAACTTTTTTTCTTTCATTTTTGAACATAAATAAATAAAACAACACAGCCTTTTTAAAAATCACCACGGATAGATCGACGCGAAATTTAATTATCTTTTATTTAAAAAAAAGAAACTTGAAATCGCTTCATATTTGGGCTCCCAAAATTAATTTGTCCACAGCAACCTTTTTTGCCCCACTGTGCGCCGCTATAGAAGTTTCTCTTCAAATATGAAATCTACACATGGTGGAATAATAACACCATGAAATCTACAAATCAAAAGAAAATTTAATGAAACAACAAAACAAAAATACTAATAATTAAAAAAGGAAAACGATAATTTTCAGCAGTAGGGCTCGAACTGGGATCTCTCGAATGGTACGCCGTGCTCTACTCACTGGACCACCGCGGCTGTTGAGGTAGTGCGCGTAAAATGACATAAATACTTATTTTTAAAATTGATTTCAAACTGAACGAAAAAAGGTGGGTGATGCCATAAAAAAAGGGCCGCCACTGGTCCCATACTTAAATTTGATAAGCTCTTATCTTTTAACTCTGAGAGGAAACATTAATTAATATATTTAACGATCATTAGTTAAGTGCCCGTTAGAGCTAATGTTTGTTTCTGAGTGCGGCTTATTAAAATACATTGGCTTCGCTGTCTTGGTCATGTCGTACGAACGGACAGAAATGCTACAGTTCTGAAAGTATTAAAGGCATGCTGGTAGCAGAGGAAGAGGAGGTCCTCCTCTGCGATGGAGAGGCCAGGTGGAGAAGAACTTGGCTTCACTTGGCATTTCCACTGGAGAGAAACGACTGGCATGCTTTGTTGGACTCGGTTAGAATCGCTTAGGCGGTTACAGCGCCAATCAAAAAGAAAAATAGGTGGTAGATGTGGCAGAAATGCAATTTATAAACAAGTAATACAACCGATTTCAATGCTCATATACAAATGTAAGAGTACAGTTTTACGCCGGCTCCGAACAAAACTGAAAGTTGATAAATTTAATACATGTGTATTTTTAATTATCTAGGTTCCAGGTGGAATGAAACGGCGGGTACTTCGCTGGTACGACTACAGCTGGTCTAGAGGTCGTATTCAAGGAGGAGGTGACATAAACACAGCTTTAGGCCTATTGCCAGATAAGCTAAAAACAGAACTAGCATTACATGTTAACCTGAGTGTCTTAAAAAAAGTCACCATATTTCAAGAGTGCCAACCAGAATTTTTACATGATTTAGTTTTGAAAATGAAAGCATACATTTTTACACCTGGAGATTCCATTTGTCGGAAAGGCGAAGTGGCGAGAGAAATGTTTATAATAGCTGATGGCATATTAGAAGTACTTAGTGAAACAGGAAAAGTATTGACAACAATGAAGGCTGGGGACTTTTTTGGCGAAATTGGAATTTTAAACTTGGATGGCCTTAATAAGTCTGTGAAAATATATAAATTAACTCTTAGTCAGCTTATTTAATGATTTCATTATTTAGGCGCACTGCTGATGTTAGATCTGTGGGTTACTCGGAGCTGTTTTCACTATCTAGGGAAGATGTACTTGCCGCTATGAAAGACTACCCAGAAGCACAAGAAATTTTGCAAACTCTAGGTCGGAAGCGGCTCATGGAAGTTCGGTGTGTAAATAAGAAGTACGGGAAAGCACAAAGCACAAAAGATCAATCGGAACAAAATGTATATAGCAATATTAATCGAAGCGATAGCAGCGAAAACAGTGCCTCAAAAAAAATTGTGTACAAACTAAGAAACGATGTGAAAGGAATTCGGAGCATGCTCAAAAATACAAGGTAAGATGCCACTAAAAATTTTAAAATATCTTACTTGTAGTTTTTTATACAACATTTTAATAGTAATTATGTACAAACTAAAACTAATTGTTTTGATGGCCGAAAGCTACAACGGTCACGATTTCCCAACAGCCTCTGAAAAGCATGAGGTAATTTAGTCAAATTAGTGTCGAAATAATGCAATACTTGATTTGTGATGGAATTGTTCTGGCAGTATGGGAAGCATCCCCATTAAAATACTTTCCTCTCAGATAGTATACATTCATGCGGGTGTTTAGAGGCTACATTTTTGTGTGCATATAGTTCGGTTTTTATTCCCGTAGCTTCAGTAATTTTAGCCTCGCTTATAACCCCTTAACGATACAAGATATGTTTTTCGACAGATATCCAAAAACTAGAACAAAAGTAAAAGTATTATGCACTTTTCATTAAGCGGGAGAAGGTATAAAGAAAAGGGGCGAAAATTAATTTAATAAAAAAAATAAAATAAATAAATTATAATTATCCAAAAGCTAAGGATTTTACTAAAAAAAAAATTAAATTAAATAGGTACTCCACTCTAGTATGTGAACAAATTGTGAAGGACAAGGGCACCCTGAAATTGTGCATATGGAAACTGTGCATACTAAATAATGCAAAAAAAAACGCGAAATAATGCATACGAAAAAAACTTAAATAATGCGATATACTGCATTCATGCACAGTTTCGGCTGCAACTCGAACTTACGTTTTATAAATGGTCTATAAGTTGTAAAGTGAAATAAGAAACTGAACTTCTTCCTGCGAATCGGCCTTCGGCCGCGCTTAGAGATTATAACCCTTCCTAAGTAGAATTCTCCTTTCTGTGTTGCGGGAAAAGATGGCGGAACTTCGTCCTGCGTAGGCGGCCTCGGTCGCGCTTAAGGATTATAAACTTTACGAACTACAATTCTCCTTTCTGTGTTGCTGGAAAAGACGGGCAGAAATATTTTTGTGCGGACCCTTACTAAGTAGAATTCACCTTTCTGTGTTGCCGGAAAAGTGCGGCGGAAATATTTCTGAGCAGAGCTTTGTTCTGCGTAAGCGGCCTTCGGCCCCGCTTAAGGATTATAACTCTTACTAAGTAGAATTCTCCTTTCTTTGTTGCCGACAAAGAGCAGCGGAAGTATTTTTGCGCAGCACTTCTTTCTGCGTAGGCGGCCTCCGCCGCGCTTAGGGATCATAACCCTTGTTATGAACCCCAAGGCTCACAGCTCAACTGCCATCCTAACGAACAGCAGGCGACGATTCTGTTCCTTAGTCATGACAGCTAGGCAGTGTGCACTGGCCTGTCCCGGAGCTACAGCTTCGTGGGTTCCTACATAGCCACTGTGACAAGAATCGTCTCGAACGCCATGAACAAGGGTCAGGCCACAAACAAATTATTTATTGGCACACTGAGAGAAAAGAGGAAATAAAATCACGTAAAAACCTATCAAAATTTTGCACCAGTCATCATGTACCATACCACAATCCTAAGACTACCCATATCCAAATGATCAGCAGCGCCGCATCTGTTTGGGCTGCTCTCGTCCCTCCCTTCCATTGGCTTTAATGATGTTACGAAGCCCCTCTTTTCTGCCAACCTAGCACTTAGCTTTCAGACCAAAATAAGTTTATTTAGAAATCCATAATATGCAAGCAAATTTATTTATAATTCAGCTTATATCTAACATGATCTTAAGTTTAGTAGGTAGCTAACCCTAGAAATATAAAATTCACGAAAGTTTAAGATATTTTGTTATACTTAGATTGACTAACGGAAAATATTAAATGGTATAAAATTCTTTTTAACGTTTTTTTATAGTGTACAAAAGAAATCTGACTTAAGCAAGTTTAAACCATAATTTTAAGACTTATGCTGAGAGCGGATAATTTATCCGGTGAACTAGTTCTGGAGAGATTCAAACCAAGAGACATCAAGTGTATAAATTCTGTACCTTGGCATTGAAATTGGGGGTATATAAGCTTACTATATATGAACGTACATAGGTGCATCCAAAAATATTAACAATAACTAGAATAGAGAGAGGAAAAATACAATAACAAGACTTACGATTCACTCCTTGATGCACTGCTGCGATGAAGGCCTCCAAACGTAGCGACGGTCAGGTGGTCGTTGTTATTATTGGCTTTTTACTCTTGTTGAATACATATGTACATATGTGTATTTAGCTAAATTTAGAGTATTATTATTAGTGAGAGTTACAAAATTCCACTATTTCATGCATAAATACGTACATACATATCTAAACTTCCATGAACGATTTTACATTCTCTGTACTGACTATTCTTTGCTTTTCAGTACATATATACCTATTGTTATTCCTGTTTCATTATTTGCTTTAAGTTTATTGGACTGAATTCTCTTACGTTTTCTTTTCTCTAGAGTTTGTTTCTTATCTAATTTTCCATTCTCTGAGATCTTATGTTTTAAATATGATTTATTCATCACTTAATTTTAATCTACGGTTCTATCTCTATTCCAACAGAAGTTATAAATGTACGGACACTATAATGAAGTTGTAGCTCGACACCTGGGCAGGTATGCAGATTACGATTTTCTTTGTCAACAATGCGAAGCGAAATGTGGGTTGTTAAACGAGTAACAGAACATGAGATTTTAACTTAACTCTGATACCGCTTTATGCATGATAATTCGTATAAATATGGTCAATCGAATGGGGTTTTAGGGATATCCCTATTAAAAGCTACATCTCCACAATTAGAAGTCCTTGGGTATTCCTACAGTAGAAACGATGTAAAATCTACGATATACTTGTATTTTGCCGAGCGAATGAAATTGAACAGCTTCGTAGTCCATAGATTAGAAAATTTGGGAAAAAGTTGCAATTAGGAAAACTGTCTTATCGCTTTTGACATAAAAATGTGAGGACCGCAATTTTTCGAGCCAAGTATACTTCTAGGCAGGTTAAATGCTATACCCATTTTTTTTTCGATCCCTACCGGTATCCAGAAGTCCTGATTCTTTTAATTTCGTTGGGATGACCCCTTTTTTATTTTAAATTTTATATTTTTTTTAAACGTAAACCAGATAATTTTCAACGTTAATACTTTATTAGCCGAAATCCAGAAACATGCTTTCTCTTTGATCGCCGAAATCCAAGTAAGCCTCCGGAAGTTATCAGCCGACCCTCTTGGGTTCCCCTCTGAACCTCTAACTTCTCGTGCAACTCTGTAGTTCACTCTTATACCTTTTAATTACTGGTTATGCGTTCTGAAATTAGCGTCAATAAATGGACAGTAGTGGCACATAAATTGTAAACGGCTAATTACTCTTAAGGTATCGAAAATATAAAATGAATGATATACATATACATACATGCATCTATATACTCAGAAGTTAAAAAAATCAAACTGAGAGAGGGGAAGAGGACAGAGAGAAAGGAAGGCATGAATATCAAGTAAATGTGTTTATAAATAGAAGCTGGGTTATGCAAGACTTACACCCGATTTACATGATTCAAGTACTTGAAAGCAATTCTTGCTCATTCTCTTTTGTGTTTTCTATTTGCTTTTAGACGTTTCAATTCTGTTGAATTCAAGTTTTTGGTTCTTTAAATGGGAAGCAACGAAAATGCCAAAAGCAAAGCAAGAAAGTTGAAACGACTTGACGGTACAGACGCATTTGTACTCGTCCCTTTTCCTCTCACCCCCTCTCTTCCACATGCGAGCAGAATTGAATTCAATACTTGAACTGTGTAAAAGCAGTCTAATATTACGTTCAAATTGGCCCCATTTAACTTGTTAAATGAAAAAGAGCTTTTTGGAAAACACAATCGTCCACATTGAACATTTGGAGTTAACTTTGACGGTTGTTTGATTACCAATAAAAATTCAAAAAAAAATATTCAAAATCAAGTTTTTGTGTTTCAATTTGTTTTGTGCGAATGCCTGCTTCATGATATTAACGCATACGGGTAACTTAGACGCTTCAAAATGTTTAGTTCGTATGCACTATTTATCTCTGCGTTCGATGAGACCTTTTGGAAAATAACTAATTACCGCCTTGGCTTCTTTTTTGGCGGGCAGACATGCATACAATTTTGATATTTTTTGATAATTTTTAATTTTTAATATTTTTCAGAATATAAATTTTTTGAACGTTGGCGTGTCAAATGAAAGCTTTTGCGTCTTTCTGATTGGTCGGAGCAGAAAGCTTTCTGATACAACTCTGCCCCGAACTGGCTTTCAAACGAGTTAAATTATTTAACTGTTTCAATTTTGCAACAACAATTGCATGCCATTTAACTTGTTTATGAACATGTTTTGTTCATTTAACTGGTTGAAGCCCATTTAACATGTTTAGTGCGTCAATTTGAACGTAGTATTAGACTTGACTTGACCAAAGGTGCTGGCCCAATGAAGGCTTGCTTTGCTTGCTTCGCTGCGAGAAGTGTCAAAAATTATTTGGAATATACTAAAACGTATAAAGGCTGGCCAAATGGCAGCTTTTCTTCACTTGCTTTAAGCGCCTTAAAATTTGAAATAGGCAAATATTTTATTTGAAAGCGTTTTGTAGGCTTTTGACACAGAGGTATGTTCCTTTCAAAATACATAAATTCAAACAAAAATTTGCTTACTTAATTTAAAAAAGTCACAGAAAATGCAGGTAATTCCAAATGAAATAAAAATGATTAATTGTTTCCATATTTATATTAAACATATCGTTATCTTATAGTAAAAAGTTGCGAAGCCCAGTTTTACAAATTTTACACGAGAGGAAAAAAACTTCTTCTTCAAGTAAATCGCTTTTTTAAGTTATAGTTTTTTTTAGTAAATGTAGATATAGATATGTATGTATCATAATTATCATTTCTTTTAAATACAAACATTATTTCGCATGAATTGAAAATTAAATCTGAAAGTTTTTGATACATTTTTAGAGTTTTCTAGGAAATAATTATTAACGTTAAGGGAACAGACATTGACTTTTCAACCAGACAGCTGGTTACTTTGAC